TGATAAAGTCATCAGTGTCCCCACTTGCTATATCCAGTAGGAGCTTTTTTGTCTGGTAAGATGGTGCTTTCATAATTATGTTCAAGGTGAGACTGCTCATATCTTTCTTATATTATTATATTCTTCCTTTAAAAGAAAGATGTTTTTTTTTTTCTTCAATTGATTTCAGAGAGAAAGGAAGAGGGAGAGAGAGAGAGATAGAAACATTAATGATGAGAGAGAATCATTAGTTGCAAAAACAAACAAACAAAAGAAGTCAGAGGGTCATAAAGAGGGCCCAGTATCTACCACGTTGAGGTCAGTATAAACACACTTTTGCTTCAGAGACACCCTGTGGCTCCCATTTTTAAGTTCCATGGGGTCTTTAAATATATGACTTTTTCTGCCTAAGGTCCTTGTCCCTCTCTCTTTATTTGACCAACTCTTCTCATCCTTCACGTCTTGCTGACTGTCACCTGCTCATGGATGCCTCTTCTAACCCTGAGTTTAGGTTAGTTTCTCTGTCAAAAGCTCCCACTTTGTATTTAGTAGTTGTCATACTTATAATAAAATGGTGTAGTTAACATTGTAATATCTTTTTCTGCTCCTATCAAATCCCTGAAGGAGTACTGAAAAATGGAACGCATGTGACCTGGGACCCATGAACCGCTCAGAGAGAATAGAGTTGACTGGTTCCTTCTGTAGCCGGATCTGCAGCTTATGAAAGTTCAGAGGACTTCCTGTCATTTTTCATTCTGAGTACAGGTTCCTATGATCCATCTTCTCTTTCCTTGGAGTGTTATGTCTGCTTTTCTCTAAACACCCCAGGTCTAAAGCCTAGTCCCCCGTGTGCAGATGGGAAATAGAGAAAGGAGCTTTCTGGTGTTTCTCCTTGCAACAACATTAATCCCATTATGAGGTCCATCCTCGTGGCCTCATCTAACCCTAATTATCTCGCAAAGGCCCCAACTCCAAATGCCATCATATTGGGGCTTCAACATACAAATTTTGAGGGCACACAAACATTTAGTCCATAACACTTGGGAAAGAAGTTTTGCTAGTTTTCCAGGTGAAAACCCGAGGCTCAGAACAAGTAATATAATGATACCCAGCCAATGAGAGAGAACTTTAGGAGGGTAGTGACCGTGATGATGACTCCTCCTCACACACTGATGCCCCCCCTTCCCTTCACCCCCACCTCCCTCCCAGGACATAGCTATTTTTTCTAATTTTTAGAAGGGCATGGTAGTTTAAAAACATGTCCACAAATTCTTTGATAGTCTTCTCTTAACAATGTGGAATCTAATTACTTTTGCCCTGGAATAGTGGCGATAGTTACCAACTCACGTACCAAATAGGATGTAGCCGATACAATGAGGTGCGCTTCCTGAGATGAGATCTAAAAGACACTATGATTCTGTTAGGCTCTGCGAAAGACAGATGCCATGTTGTGAAGACATGCAAGTAGCCCTATGGAAAGGCCCATGTTGTGAGGAACCAAGTCCACCAGCCAATAGCCAGTGAGGAACTGAGGCCTCCTGTTATATTAGCATGCCACCTTGTGTGTGAATTGTCCAACCCCAATCAAACCTTCAGATGATTGCAGTCCTGGCTGCCATTTTGACTGCAAACTCATTAGAGATCCTGAGACACACTAGAATTCCTGGTTGTCATTCCCAGATTCCTAACCTGTAGAAACTGTGAGATAATAAATGTTTGTTGTTTTAGACTGCTAAATTTTGGGGGCAGTAATAGATAATTAATACAAAGGAATGGTGTTTTATCCTATTCTCAATTCTCCATTCTCCAAATTACCTATGTGGCCAAGCTATATCAACATTTCTGAGTCAGTTTGCTCTTAGAGAAAATAGCCACAAAATACCATGGAGTATGCCTGATACATATATGTCTAGTACTGACCACCTCAAAATAAGCTCAATACATTGTAGTTGTTTACACCTGATCAGCTGTGTGGCTTCCCCAGGTGACTTTCCGTCTATTGGCTTTAGATGCCCATTTCCCTCAGATGAGGTGCCAGATAAGAACATACACTAACTTTACACATTGCTGACGGCTCAGGAGAATTCTCGCTTCATATTACACAGTGTTTTACAAAGCATCATACTTTAAAAAGATATTGTCTTATATGAACATGTAATAAATAGCTTCAAAATGCAATGGGTATTTAATTTTAAAGCGTGCCTTTAACATTTATGTAAAACGTTTTTTGCACTTGTTCAATAGAAACTTTCCTGGCCACTGGGTAAAGCTAGCAATAACGCTACCGATCAGCAATGTGTTAAGTTAGTGTATGTTGCCTGGAAGACAGCCCTAAAGTCCTAAACCAGTGGTCGGCAAACTGTGGCTCTCAAGCCACATACAGCTCTGTGGCCCTTTGAGTTTTTAGCAAACGCCAGCTTAGGAGTATCCTAATTAAGTTAACAACAATGTACCTACCTATATAGTTTATGTTTAAAAAATTTGGCTCTCAGAAGAAATTTTAATCATTGGACTGTTGATAGTTGTTATTAACTAATGAGTTTGCCAACCACTGGCCTAAACCTTCCTGGCTTCTTCTCATTTTTGCATAGACACCTTCACTCTGGTTAGCTTCCATTCTTAAATCTAACCTTTCATCTCAGAATTTCAGCTTTGATGCTCCCACTTCCTTCCTATGGTTACTTTAAATGAAGTGAGTCAGGTCTTACTGAAAAACTGACCACAGTCAGTCAGCTCCTGTCCTCCCCCGACCCAGGGCTGCCTGGGCAGAGCGGGAGGGCAATCAGTGTTTACTTGGCCCCTTCTCTCCCTGGCTCCTCCAAGCCTTGGGGCTTAGAGTAGGGCTTCCCCAGCCACCATGCTCCTCCCAGCAGATCAGAGTAGGAGCCTCACGTTAGTCTGATGGATCAAGGAAGAGTGGCAGCAGCTTGAATCCTTGGGTATCCTATGGGTGGGCTAATGTGCTTATATTCTACTCTATTGGGTCCATTCTGTTGTTGCAGCCCAGGGAGAATTGGGTAGAAGTTTTTATTTATTCCCCCCCCCCCATTTTTTATTAAGGTATTATATGTGTACATATCTTACCATTGCCGCCCCCCACTCCCATACATGCCCTCACCTCCCAATGTTTTGTGTCCATTGCTTATGCTTATATGCATGTATGTAAGTCCTTTGGTTCATCTCATATCTCCCCCACCTCTTCCTAACCTTCCTGCTGTAATTTGACAGTCTATTTGATGCTTTACTGTGTCTGTATCTATCTTTTTGTTCATCAGTTTATTATGTTCTTTATTATCCATAAATGAGTGAGATCATGTGGAATTTTTCTTTTATTGACTGGCTTATTTCACTTAGCATAATGTTCTCCAGTTCTATCCAGGTTGCTGCAAATGGTAAGAATTTCTTCTTTTTTATGGCAGCATAGTATTCCATTGTATAGATGAACCATAGTTTTCTGATCTGGTCATCTGCTGATGGGCACCTAGGCTGTTTCCAAATCTTAGCTATTGTAAATTGTGCTGCTATGAACATAGGGGTGCATATATCCTTTCTGATTGGTGTTTCTAGTTTCTTAGGATATATTCCTAGGAGTGAGATTACTGGGTCAAATGGGAGTTTCATGTTAGGTTTTTGAGGAAACTCCATACTGTTTTCCACAGTGGCTCCACCAGTCTGCATTCCCACCAGCGGTGTACGAGGGTTCCTTTTGCCCCAAATCCTTGCCAACACTTGTCATTTGTTGATTTGCTGGGTAGAACTTCTTAGTATGAATGCCAATAACAACACACTGTGTGCACTGGGACCACCTTCTAGGGTCATGACGATACCCCATCTTAGTCCTCACCATCACCCAGACAAATTAGTGTCTGCCCCTGGAACTCTGGTGCTTGAAGAAGCAAACAAACACTAACAAACTTCCTCTGCCTATCTTTCTAATTTTGGTATGTGTATAATTCATCCTTAATCTTGAAAATCAACATGATCTTTAAGGATTTAAGGGCAATTCCTTACAGGATTGAATTTATGGAAAGATTATGGTAGTCTCTGGCATTGGCTTTTGAAGAGAGAATATCTCTCCCTTCTTCCCCCAACCTGGACTTGAAATCTTCCCTGTTTTTTAAGAGAGAGTAGTTGGCTTCTTCCTCTGGAATGCAGAATTCATTCATCCACTCTCTTCTATCTTGGAGACTTTGAGGGAACAATTTTAGTCACACAGAAATTCAACAGACACCATAACATGATTTTAATAAAACTCATTTATTTATTCAAAATTAAAAATCTGCTACAAAGACAGACAAACAATGTGACATTCCCAGAGGAATTGAATTGCTTCTAGTTAAAACTGAGTTCTATTAGAACCAATTTTAGGTTGATATAAATAACAAGCTGGCCACAGCTTTTGAGAATAAAGTGGTTAGGGAATGAGGTCAGGGGAATCCCTCTGAGCTGCTGGCATGTGAATTGTCAAAGGGGCTCCCTAGTTTCTCTTCCTAAGGAAGTGAGATCTTTGTAACATCCTGGGAGCCCCAGGCCCAGGGACAAAAGAGACAGGTCAGGCTTGGAATGGAAGCTTCCATTGGCTCCCCAAGATCATGTCTTTTTCTTTATATATAAGTTACAATTTGTCTTAAAACACTCAAATGCCATAAGGTGCTACCCTATGGAAACAGCTTAAACACAAGTGAAAATAATAAATATTAAAAAAAATTATAATGTTGGGCTTCTTTCTAAATAGTTCACAGAGAAGCTCAGTAAATAAATAGATCTTTCTAAATAGTTCACAGAGAAGCTCAGTAAATAAATAGATCTTTCTAAATAGTTCACAGAGAAGCTCAGTAAATAAATAGAAAAGGGAGTTGAGGTATCAGAGGCAATAAATATTCTAGGAGAGAGGTACGGCAGGGTTTTCCAAGGAGCTGGTTTGGCTCTCCTGGGACCCTGGGTTGGATTTTGGAGATCTCCAATGTATGCCCTAGAGTCCAGTGGAGCCGCCACCCCTGCTGCTTTGTTGATCAGATGTTTCAGTTCTTCATCTTCAATGTCATGTAGACCTCGATGTAGTTGATGAAGATGTCAAACTCACTCATGGCTTTGTAGACCCCTCTCTCCTGGAGCTGTGTGGGGAGACAAGAGATGGTTAGTGAAAACCCGATCTGAGTGAGTCAGGTGGCCCCTCACTTGAAGGGCCAGAAGCTGCACTTGATCCCTCGAGTTGGGAGGTGAAAGGTGGACGCAGGAACCTGAGGACATGCCCAGCTGCTGTGGGAAAGGCTGGGCATTGGCGTGAGGCAAAGCTAGTGGAGGCGAGAGGAGCATCTGCTTGCAAAGCACAGTCTTCAAACCGGTGCCTTTTCAACACATGCAAAGGCCATGTGCTCACATGGTGCTTATTCAGAATTGGATGGAAAAACATCAGAGGCACCACTTTGAAAACAAGACGATGAGAGAGGAGAAAAGGGAGCGAGCTTCTCTTAGGTTTGTTCTCTTCCTCCAACAAATTAGCAGGTCCCACCTGCTGACGCAACCTGTGCCAGGGGACTCACGTTCCCTGATGTGGGAACCCTGCCCAGGGTCTGTCCCCAGCCCCCGAAGAGGCCACAGGCCACATGGCTTCTGGGAAATGGTGTTTAAATGTTCACAGACAGTTGGAAGTGTGAAACCCTCTGGTTTGAGAGTTGACATTAGAAGGCAGCTGGGGAGCTGGGAGGGGCAGATGAAAATTGAGCGCGGATCAGCTCTGGAGGGGTGAGAATCCTACTTCCTGCTCTGAGTCTTGGGGAGCCCAGGCTGAACCCCTGGGCGTGTTTGTGTGTGCACATTCACGTGTCGGGTTCTCGCACGTGTGGCTTCTGCCTGGATGCCCAACAAGCTACTTTCTGTTTCCCCTGTCACTCTCCCCAGCACCCCGCTCACTGCGTTCGCAGGCTGGCCAGCTGCTCACCCACAGGCCTGCAAAGGCGGGGAGCAGTCATTTAGAAACCCCCAAAGACACTTCACAGAAAACAAATATAACCGAGGCGACAGCTCCTCACAGGCTGCGGAGGTCACACCATCTGTCGGGTTCCCACAGTCCCTCCCCGTGAAGGAGGGGGCTGGCTTCGCATCTGCCCCTTGGGGAGCAGGGCCCCGGCCGGCCGTGCTCCCCCAAACCCTCCCTGTAGGAGCCACCGTGCAGCTCACCTTACTGAAGGTGCTCTTCACCTGCTCCACTACTTTGCTCTTGTTCTCACAGGGCAGAAAGCGGTGCTGGGAAGGAAAAGAGAAAGTGTCAACGATACCGGCTCACTGGGGGACACGCTGGTGGCAAGAAGAAGGAATCAGACTTGTCCTGGATGCCTCTACCTCCCGCCACCCCATGTCCCACCCTTCCCCAGCCGAGGAGAAGGAACACAGCCCAGGAGAGGAGCGCGCTGCCTGCATGGGAGGCCTGCATGCACACCCAGCGCTGGGAGCTTCCTCCTGCTATTCCACCCTTTCCTGACCCTCCCGTTCAGGCCCAGACACGGAGGGGGATCCTTGCTAAGTCCCTGAAGAATAGAGACAGCAAAGGGGACCAGTGAGGAGACCCTCATCTCAGTTGAAAAAGTGGATTCTCCTGAAGGATTGTTCATGAACACTGGCCCCTGGGCCTTTCTAAACACCAGGGGAAGTGCTGTCCGTCAGCTGGGCCCTTGTAGAGAGGTCTGTTTTTAAAGGGTTCGGGATGAGAGGGAAGTGGAGTTTCCTCTCCCTGGACGCTCAGCTCCGGGCCCCTCTTGCTAGGCCCGGGGCTTGCATCCCAAGGGCCAGGGGAACCTGACTAAAGCGCGGGGCCCCTCTCGTACAGAGACGGGAATGGTTAATAAGCCACAAATGACTCACAAATAACAGGAAAGCTGTTTGCAAATCTTCGCATGTAAACGCCTGGCAGCCACCCCACCCCTGCTCAGAGAGAAATGAGCAGGCTCCTGCCACCCATAGTGCTTGCCTGCTGGGTGTCAGGCAATGAGAGTTTCCGAAAGAAAAGCCCGAGAGCTGCCAGGGAGGGAGCGGGCCTGCTACTCACACAGCGCCGCAGCTGCAGCCTCAGCGTCTTCAGCTTCTCCCCCAGCGAGTTCACGGGCTCCTTGGTGTCGGGGCCCTGGCTCTCGGCCTGGGGCATCACCTCTTCCAGGTAAAACTGGATCATCTCCGACAAGGCTTGGCAACCCAGGTAACCCTAAGGGCAGAAGCGTGGGGTGGTGACTAGGAGGAAAGGCTGTACCACTAGCTTTTGAGAGGCTGGCTTTGTCCCCAAGGACCAATCTTCAGCAGCCTGGTGCCTTCCTCCAGGACCCGGCCCTCTGAAACCCTCCCCGGGGGCTGGCTCGGTGCTGAGTTAAGCTCTTCTCACTTCTCCTTTTCACGTGGAGGAAGCAGACCCAGCGCCCTGCAGGCTGAAGCGGATCCCCCTTCTTGAGTCACCAGGCACACTCTCCCCCCTGACTCACGCAACTGGCTCTCACCTTGAAGTCCTCCAGCAACGACTCGTTCAACAGAATGTTGTCCAGCTGGTCCTTCGTTTGCTACAAGAAGAACACAGTGAGAATAAGCCTGAGGTTTGGAGGAAATACCTGAAATGACTGTCCTTGATTGGCAGAGTTTTTTATTTGTAGCCCCAGCCTACCCATGGAAAGGACAGTTATCAAAACGTTGAGGCATTCAGCGGTGCTGGAACCCTTAGCTAAATCAGGCCTCCCCGTGGGGATCAAGTCATTCCAAACATTCTGCCAGGGTTTGAAGCCAAGGCAGATGCTTGATTGCGGGGACACATGGGGTGTCTGCCCTTCAGTGCTCTCTGCCTGTCTCCCTCTCCTGCCCGCACCCCACTGCAGCTCTGAAGGCTCCCTGAGAAGGGGGGGGTGGGGGTGGGGGGAACAGCTCCTCCTGCAGGTTCCCCCTGCACGATGCTTCCGCAAACGTCAGTCTCTCAGGCTCCGGACCGCTCTGAGCAGATGCAATTTATGCTCTCCTGCCAGAAAGTGGGGGGACATCTTCACCTACAGTCACCCCCTTGGGGGTGTCTCCCAGCCAAGGAAGCCCTGAGCGCCAGCAGAATCTTATAAAGCATTCCTGAGCATAGGAAGACGATGCTTTTACCGTGTAGGCAGCTTTTCCTGCACATTCGGCGCCCCATCTGGACTTAGCTGAACTCATGGAGCTCATAGCTCGGCTGTGGGAGTCTCTTAAGAACTGAACTGGGGGTGCTGGGGATGGAGGTGAGCAAGAAAAGAGAGCCCTGGGAGCTCCAGCAGAATGGAATGTTCAGGCAGGAAGGGTAAGGGGGCATCATACTCACAAAGAAAGTCTTCACCCTGCTGAAGGCAGCTCGGAGCTCTCGAAGCATGTGGGGCAGGCTGGTGGAGAAGTGGCTGCAGCTGTTCTCAGATGGCGTGCCCTGGGCTGGCCCGGCCCCCATCCCAGCCAGGAAGATCAGGCAACAGAGCAGTGCTGAGCTGGGCATAGTGGCGCGCTGCCTTCTTCTGCCAGGCGGCCTTGTGGTTTGGTTTTGCAAGAGCAATGCCCTGATGTGTAGACCTTCATCTCCTGTGCCCCTCTTTTTATATCATTGATAAAAAACTGACAGACCCACAAACTTCCGTTTCAAGAGCCCCTCCCAAAGAAGGAACCTTTGCATTCGATGAACTTCTTTCAGTGTGAATTCTTTGCATCGTAAGCAAAAAGGATGGTTGAAAAAAACCAACTGCTATTTTTAGACTGAGCTACCTCTCTCTCTCCCTTTTTTTAAATAACTTTTTTTCAGCTTCTCTTAATAAAAAAAGAAGTTGATTTCCTGGGTGACCAGCTGTTCTGTGCGCAGAGGCCCACAGTGTGGGTTCCATTCACGTGTTCCTAGGTCACAGTGACGTGGACAAATGGGCCATTCTGGAGTGTACTGGGATTGAGAAATAATGGGGTCCCTTCCCTAACCTGGGTTGAATACCCAAGGCTTCTCCTTGCTGATTCAGGAAGTCACCCCAACTCTCTGGGCCTTAGCTTCCCCAAGTGAGAACAAGAGGGTGAGCTAAAGTATCCTCAATGCTGTCTTCTGGTTCTCTCATTTCTGTTCCAAGCCAGCCGCTCCGGGAGGCCAGCTGCCCACAAGATGGCCGGGAGGGGCCACAGGACGGAGCCGGGATTTGTACCTCAGCTGGCCTGTCCCTGACACCACGCTGCTCCACCATGTCCCCATGTGTGGGATGAGAAAACCGAATTAAAGTCTTTCCAGATTATTTGAGTTCTATGCTTCTGTGGATGGAGGGAGATTTAAGCTGGAAAGATGGAAGGAAGAAGTCGAAAAATAAGTCGGGATTCCAGGAAGGCTGGGCAACAGGCTCCTTCCTTCCCTCTTACCCAATTCTTCCCCCTTCGCAAAGAAGCCTTTGTTATGTTGTCTTAGATGTAAACATGTGAATGTGTGTGTGTGCATGGGAGTGTGTGTGTATGAATGTGTGTGTGTATGTGAGGATGTATAAGTGTGTGTGTGTGTGTGTGTGTGTGTGTGTGTGTGTGTGTGTGTGTGTTGCAGGGGCAGAGCAGCCAGATATGGTGGGGCATGCTGCTCGCCACCTGGTTAGGAAAGACAGAGATAGTGACATTACCTCAGATCTCTGGAAAGTTCTCTGGGGGTCATTTGTGCCTTGACCTCCCCCTTCCACAGGGGCTTCTCCCTCAGTGTAGATAGTAAAGGGGGGAACATTGGCCGGGGATGGGGCAGAAGGCTTGGGCTCTGTCCTGGCTCTGTCACTCTTTACCCCCAGGGCGTATGCCTTGACTAATCCATGTCTGTTTTCCATCTGCTTCCTGCCTGCCAGGGGCCTGGACTTGGGGGATTGACAAGTGGACTCAGAGGTAGGAAATCTCCCACTTCCTGTATTTCCTTGCCCTCCTGCATCAGCACTGGGGTGCCTTGAATGGCACTGCCCCTCAAAGAAGGTCACTGTGCCTGGAGTAAGTGAGGTGGACATACTGGGGCCAGGCCAGTCTGGCGTGAGTAGGAGGGCCCATCTGTGGATGTACCGTATGGGCCAGAATCAGGGGGCTGCGGCCTCTCCTCCCAACCCTTCGTGCTAATGCAGAAACCTAAGAATCACAAAGGGAGGAAGGGCCTTTTGGTAACAGGAGGGGTGGTGCTAACACAGGAATTGCTGCTTCTGAGATTTACATGGGGCTCAGGAGCGTGCGCTTTGCAGTCAGAAAGGGGAGAGGAGCCAGGAGCTGGGCTCTGCATCCTTTCCACCCGTCTCCTTAGCGCGTGCCCTCTGGGTGTTCGGGAAGTGTGAGCTTTGGCCCATAGGGCTGACCCCTCTTTGAGCCGGGTGTTCCAGGTGCAGACAATGTGGTAGAGCAGTTAGCCCAGAGGCCCCAACCGGGGCAAGGCTCTCAGGCTCTTCTCCCCACCCTGCCCTGTGCTTTCCCCGCTATTAACCGTACAGCCCTACAGCTATCACCCGTGACCACATCCTGTCTCAGCCAATCAGCTGTGAGGTCTCTAAAGCAGGGTGTTGTTTTGTTATCCTTTGTGTACTTGGTGTGAGCGCAGGGTCCTGCCCACAGTAGGTGCCAGGCACACAGCTTCCCCTATATTGGCATGGGCATAGCAGAGTATCCCGGGAACCTTGGCTGGGGTTGGAGAAAGCAAGGATAAGGAGGCTGGTAGGGGCACAGGTGAGGACTCAGAGGGCTAGGGAGAGCAACTCAGGGAGACAGGAACCATCTCTTCCACTTTCTTATCATTTGAACTCTACACACTGTTGCACCAGGGAGCTCAATTGTGAAAATGAAATGTATCTTAGTAAACACTGCCTTTATAATTATTCAGAGTATGGGTGTACATTTTGGGGACATCCTATCCTATATAATAAAAGCCTTATATGCTAATGCAGTGTCCAACTGTTCCTTCAACCATTTGACTAGTCACTATGATGTGTACTGACCACCAGGGGGCAGATGCCCTGACCAGTAAGTTAGCTTGCTGCTGGGGTCTGGTCTGGGTGAGCTGGGCCAGACACTCCCTGGAGCCCTCCTGAGGTCCCTCCCCGGCCCTGATTGTACACCTGTGGGGTCCCTTGGCCTGGCCTGTGCTCTCTCAAAATCTGGGACCTCTTGGGGGATATCAGAGAGCCGGTTTTGGCCCCATCCCTGCAGGACAGGCTGAGGGGCCCCACTGGTGCACAAATCCATGCACTAGGCCAGTGGTCAGCAAACTCATCAGTCAACAGAGCCAAATATCAACAGGACAACGATTGAAATTTCTTTGGAGAGCCAAATATTTTAAACTTAAACTTCTTCTAACACCACTTCTTGAAAATAAACTTGCCCAGGTTGTGGTATTTTGTGGAAGAGCCACACTCAAGGGGCCAAAGAGCCGCATGTGGCTCACGAGCCATGGTTTGCCAGCCACGAAGCTAGGCCTCTAGTATAATGTATATGCATACACACACACACTCTCTCACATGCACACATGCACAAGATGGCAGGGAGAAGGGAGGCAGGCAAAATCCATTTCTATCTTTTTTAAATCCATAAGCCATTTGTTGAATAGTTGACCCTTTCCTCGTTGACTTGAAATCACTGTTCTCTCTTTACTCAAAATTTCAGAACCTAAAGGGTCAGAGGTAACCTTAGGTCAGTGGTCGGCAAACCATGGCTCATGAGCCACATGCTGCTCTTTGGCCCCTTGAGAATGACTCTTCCACAAAATACCACAGCCTGGCGAGTCTATTTTGAAAAAGTGGCGTAAGAAGAAATTTAAGTTTAAAAAATTTGACTCTCAAAAGAAATTTCAATCGTTGTTCTGTTGATATTTGGCTCTGTGACTAATGAGTTTGCTGACCACTGCCTTAGGCAAATTTCCTGATGCAATTTCTTATTTAACAAATAGCGACAGCAATATGCTTTTCATCAACATATCTCATAAGATTGTTGTCAAGCTGATACAAGACAACAGGGATGAACATTTTGGGGAAAACTGAGACCCTCTATTTTTATATCATCAAAACAAGGAGAACAACAAAAATAGCAGTCAATCATCCTATTTCTCAAGAGCATGACCACAGTTTATGTAGTCAGTTCTGTACATCTCTTTATTGGACAAGTCATTAGGGTCCATAGGAGAAGTCCCAAATTCACAGGTCACATCTGAGCCATGAATGTTGACAATCTGCATGTTAGGTTTGAGTTTGGGTTTCAGTCCAAGGGAAGGGCTGAAGGGAAGAGTCGTGCAGGGGCAGAAGTGAGAGAGCAGGACCTACAGATGGAAGGAGTGTCCATCTGGGCACCCTGGTCCTGAGGATTCAAGAGAAAAATGCCACTCGGCTGATTGTGAGCTCCTTGAGGATAAAAGGTCTGAGTCCAATTTTCCCTCAAGTTCACATGCACAGTGGTTGTCTAATAAATGCCTAGTAACGTGAATTGAAATGAACTTTTTAGTGGGAATTTACTGGAAAATTTGAGGAAGTTGTGGGAGGGGGTATACCTCTTCTCTACCACCCCTACTCTAAAATATCCCCTAATTTCGGTATTCAGCTACAAATGAAAGAAAAGCTGACTTTTTAGTAAAGCAGGGCTTACTAAAGCAAAGGATAGCCCTGGCCAATTTGGCTCAGTGAATAGAATGTTTGCTGGTCCAGGGATGGACGTGTCTCTCTCCCATTGATGTTTCTCTCTCTCTCTCCCCCTCCCTTCCACTCTCTTTGAAAAAAACCAATGGAAAAATATCCTTAGATGAGGATTAACAACAACAACAAAAAGCAAGGGATATTATTATTATTATTATTATTATTTTGGTCTCACCCAACAAGAAGTCCAGAGGCAAGTAGTCCGAGGCTGGGACAACTTTCCTATGTCACCTACAAGCTGCTTTTCCTGTTTCCCTGCTTGTCTATTCGTTGTTGGAGGGTGTCAGGGAGGAAGGGGCCTGGGTCAAGTCCAAAGGCCTGTCAGCCCAGGAGATCCTAATAGTTTTTCCAGAAAGTGCCACTCAGTGAGTTTCACCACTTTAGCTGCAGAGGAATCTAGACAGAGAAGAATTGCCTGTGTGTGTGTGTGTGTGTGTGTGTGTGTGTGTGTGTGTGTGTAGATTTTGGAAGGTTCTATTTACAGTCACTAGATCTTATAAGGAGTCACCTCCCAGCTACAGTCCTGCTTAGCAGAATGGCAGTGTTCTTGATATAGTTGCCTCACACCTGGCAGCAATTCTGCAACTCAGACCAAAGAGTGGCAACAGTCTTGGGGGCTGCACTGAGGCTTCAAAAGGAAGGCTAAGAGATCTGGGCTTGTTGGAACTCAGGGTTCAGCCCTGAGTGCATGCAAACAGGGCCACTAGGGAGGGAGCAGGCAGGCTCATTATACAGGCAGAGAAGGTGGGATGATGGCTACCTGGAGCGGGGCAGTGACTGTCCTGATGAAGAATCCCTTGGGGACTGGCTTCCCCATTAGTAACCACTGTTTCAAGGCTGAGAG